CTCAACTCATACTCTAATTCAGGAGCTAACAGATGCTCTACCTTGAACGCAGACATATTACACAACAGAAATATACAAGAGAATGAGTAAAAGTAGGTAAAGTTTAACTTACTCTCTGTCCTCAAATTAATATTCTGAAGGGATACCTATACCAGTAATGTTTAATTGTTTTGGTCCAGTTATGAAATCCAATGACATATACTGCTACAACACCCTAAGGAACCTAAAATTTCAAAACTGTTATTTTGAGGTAGTGACTCAACTTATTGGCTACTCCGGACTTGTAAAAATATGTGAAATAGTTAACTTTAGTTATTTAAATTTTTAATTAATTTATTATTAATTTAAATTGTTATTTAATCAATCAAAAACAAAGCAATTTATTCAGTCTACACAGTATATAGCAAAAACAAGTCAATTTAAGATATAGATCTAGATATAAGGTAATGTCCAAAAAAAAATTGAAAAACAAAACTAAAAGTTAAAATGAAAATCTAAAAGCACAACCAGTGAAAACCACAACAACCCAAGATCAAAACCAAAAGTTAAAGGAGATATATATTATATATATATTTTTTTTTAAGGCAGAAGTGGAAAAGAAGCCCCACGTTGGGCGCCAATTGAAACGAATAAAATGTGAATTGACAAAGTTCAGAAGAACTGAAAGAGAAGGAAGGAAAATATTAAAAATATGGCTAAGCTCAGAGGAACAAAGTTAAACGGCCAAAGAGACACTAAATCTCAAGTGAGTGTTCGGGCTAGCTTCGATGCACTGGATTGCGGCTTTAAAGATACAACAGATAACAAGGATAATGAGCTAATGAGACAAGAAACGAAATGAGGCCTGACAATGTCAAACGTGATATAACTAAAGAAGGTCACTGGGAATAAATTTATAGAAAGAGAACACTAAGAAGAGAAAAGAAGGGCGCCAACTCAACGATAGTTGAGATTTTGAAGTAACAAATAAATCTGGAGATAGTAACCTGAAATACAAAAAAAACTAAATAATAATCTTATTTTGCTATGTTATATACTGGTTAGTAGAACTGAAATAAAACTCAAAATAGTAACAACAAATATATTTATAAAAAGAATGTATATAGATACATGTGTATAACCAATTTACATATAATGCAAAGCTAAATATACAGTGGTAGTGGGTATAAAGATAAAATGGGACCTAATAGCCCCTCCACAAGCAAATAGTCACTACCACTGGCCAAATAAAATGTAAATATTAGTATTAACAAGAATAGTCCGTTAGGGTAGCCGAAGTCTTAACACTAAGGTTAGTAATCTCAATTTAAATAGTTCTACTAAACTGATAAACTAATCAACGTATTGTACAGGTATCAACAGTGATAACTCTGTTACAATTATCTTAAAAGTGAGTTTTCAATACTCCTTATCTATTTATTTTAAAGTCCACATAAAATTTATTTCCCTCCCCAAAATATTTTAATATTATTACATCAAAGTATGTATTGTATTATAACATGAAATCCAAGAAAATGAGTTATGGTCAGACTCACTAAATTCTTTAGTTAACCTAATAACCTATAAAAATGTCCTTTTTCCTCCCCGAATATTTTATATTAATTAAATTATCAAAGATATTAACCACTCATATGCATATGAATAGCTCACAGTGAATTAAATATACAATAGCAAATGGTCACAACAACTTATCTTTAATAACAATAGGTCCCTCCAAACTCAGCTGGGCACATCAAAACTAGTTCATCATGGTGACAAGTCCCATATTTTGGGGTTACTGCAAAATCCACGGATTCACATAAGCAACCTGCTAACCATACTTTGAAGTGTATATATATATTTTATATTGAATATTTAAGTGACGGAATCTAAAAGGATTAATTAGTTTAATAAATGTGATTCAATAGCTGTAGCAGCATGGATTCAACTTTACCAAAGCACAACATTAAACATTAGGTTAGGTCAACATCATGTCAAAATTCATGAAGTTATTTCCATGGCATGACAGGCAATGAACATGCGCAAAAATATAGAAGGCTGTCCAATAATTGTAGGACCTATTATATTTCACCAAAAAAAGTTAAATAAAAATTGAACCAAAAAACTTAATGATAACGACGTGGACTAAAACAGAATTTAAGTTTGACTATATAAAAAAAATGACCTTCTGTTCTTGGCAAGTAAATCAAGGAAATTTTATATTTAAATTATTTCGGAACTTAAAAATAAATCTCTAGGAAATACTACACTGCAATGACTGCCATGAATTTTAGTGGATGATAAAGAGGTAATAAGTATGAAATAATATACTTACTGGAGAACGTGACACGCCAAAAAAAATCTTCCTTTTTTAATTGGAACTCTTAAATCATTTTGCTTTTTTTTTAAATTAATTATTTTTATACATTTACTGAGATATTATTATTACTTAATTGAATATTATTTTATTCTTCCTAGATTATTTTTATTTGTTCCAATTCCGTCACTTGGATTGACTGGCGTATTATCACGTCTGAGTTTTGACCATAACTGCCGGCACCTTTGCAAAATCCATCGGTCCCCACTTTCAAAGCCACTCCAGCGCGTGAGTAGAGAAAGGTCGATGTAAAATCGAACGCTGGCGGGTCAAAAGAAATTTCTTGAGGGGTTTAGTGACCACGATTTTAAATTGGACACTTGATTAATCAGTAGCGTAAACGCTACACTAGACCATAATATCTTCTGTCCATTTCAAAATTCTGTCCAAATCAAACAGTACTGTACCAAGTCTTCATCCATTTCTGCTGATAAAACTGGTTTTCGGCCCACTCGTAGCGCGCATTGTTCTTTTGAGTCTTTGCCACGTTTGACATATAGCTCGATGGTTAATTTGGAAACGTTGAAGCACTTTGAGGCCTTTAAGTATCCAATTTGTTTACTTTTAACAACATCAATAGTAATTTTCATATCTTCTGGATTCCCTTTTTTATGTGGTAGGCATTTTGTAGGAATTTTACTGAAAAAAATGTAGATAAACATGTTTTGAATTACATATAATTAGGTTCCTAATCTTGGATATTCAATTTTAAAATTCCTTTCCTATCCAAAATTAGGCAACCTTCATGTTCAAGGTAATTTAAATACAAAAATACTTGGCAGATATGTTCAATTTAAATATTGAAGCTAATTCTACAACTATTTAAGAATATACCTGCCAAATTTCACTTTAATACTGTCAGTACTTACCTTTTTATAACAGTTTTCAGTTGGATAAATAACAAACTCGTATCACGAAAAAACATATAATTATATGGTTTCATCTAGTAGTATACAATGACGAATTTCCTTTACTACCTATCGCAGGGTTACCAGGTCTATTGATTTTTCAGTAGATCTACTGATTTTAACTTTAATTTACTGATTTACTGAAACACTACATCGATCTACTAAAATATATGTAATGATAAAATCATGTTCAAAAAGTGATCAATATATCAATCTTCAATCATAAATTTTGAAAAAATCTATTTATTGATGTATATACCCATTATTCTCAATCTATTGAAGAAATAAAATATCACTTGGCAACCTTTCTGGTGCCGGTTTAGGCTTCAGGCAGTTTCATACGATTACGTAATCCAATATCCAAGCGTACGCTTCCCCTCTCTTTCCTTGTCTAAGACGCGTACCATGATCATTGACCATATTGTCCATACTGTCCATAGAGTCCATATTGTCCAACTATCGTGTTTTTTTTTTCTAATCCGTCCGTTAAAATCAGACATTCTAGTTTTAAATCCATCGTGATAATTCGTTCATTTTTCGCAGATCATGTTTTGATAGTTTTTAAATAAGTCTTCTTTATGGAAATGGAAACTCCTGCTGCTTTTGGTCTTTTTTCTTTGTTTATTTCGCTATAAAATTGTGTATATTCACCTTTAAAAAAAGTGATGCCCATGTTGTATGCAACCAATTCTTCAAACACTTCTGTATCCCTTGTACTAATCTCCTGTATGTTCCAACAACCTAAATTGATATACCTTTTTCGTTGCCGTGTCCATCTTGGTTTTGTTTCAGTCCATGTACGAAGCAATTTCAAATTTTTTGTAAGAATAAAATATTTTAAGGTTGATGAGGAACAGGCCCATCAACTTGTAGGATCCTGGCTATTTTTATAAGGGACTTCTACCTTAAGTCGAAAGAACCAATTTGGAAACACTGGATACTCGCTTTCACCCTAGTCCATTCTGGACTAGGATTTGTTGGCAGATCCGACAGTTGGTCAGTAGGGAGGCTTTCCGTAGTATTTTTAAGAATGCATTTTTATCTTATTGAATTTTATATTTTGTTAGGTTTGTGCCCAATAATTAATTCTAATAAAGCAAAAAAATAACGAGATCAGAAGAAATAGAAAATTAATTTCTAATCAATGACAAGCTGCGACATCACGACACACCTATCAATGGGTGTGAACTCGAGTTTATCTTGGTTTTGAATGAAGTATAATGTATTCTTTACGATCTTTGTAGAATAGCCCTGTCTACTGTTGTCCACAGCTATCTTCCTAAGGGACCTGACAGATGAAATAAATACTTTCTGTCTAAGATTATAGCACATACAATTGTTAATTTGACTTTTTGTGTAAAGTTTGTTTAGCAGTAAATGGTTGACTTCAATTAGTATCGACTATAAACATCCGAGTTAACCGATAATAGTATAAAAGGCCGGTTTAAGGTAACAATGGTTTACCTGAGGTACAAGGTCTTAACGATGGGCCAAATCAGAAAAACTTAATATCTGATTTTATCGTTATCGTTATCACATCTTTTAATTACTTTACATCTTTTAATTAATTTGTGGTAACGATGGCACTAAAATTTGGAAGACTAGCATATTCGTTATCTTTTAAATCATTTTTTCATCTACCTTCTCTGATTCTTTAATCTCTTTTCTATAATTTTGAGACTTCTGTATAATTAATAAATATTATACTTATAAATAATATTACTGTTTCTGTTTAGTTTAGTAGATCTAGCGTAGGAGGAAACAAATTTATCCTGCCATCCTGTATTTGTCCTGAGGAAGACACACTAAAATTCGAGTCTAGATTTGAGTGTGGAAATTTAGCCAAGGCCATAATGATTACGCCAAATTATTATGAATTACACCTTAGATCTGATTTCTATACAAACAGACACATGCAGTGGTTCTATTTCAGGATTAGTAATGTTAAAAAAGGATTTTTATATAGGTCAGTATACGAAAATGTGAGTTTTTAGGTTATATTAGGTTAAGTGAATTTACGTCAGATTATAGGATACTATGTTATTACATATAATGAGACTTATTCATTCAACAATAATCTTATTATTTTAGATTTTCTATTACGAATTGTTCCAAAGAAAATAGCTTATACAATGAAGGAATGAAGCCACTAATGTATTCAAAAAAAGATTCTCAGTTGCATTCGATTGGCTGGAGAAGATGCGGTCAGAATATTTCTTATTATTGTAACGATAACGTGTAAGTATATACTTTTTTTGATTTTTTTGTTTTTTTTCAAAAGATTCTGTTTTCAGAACACAAGATGATCCCGACCAACAGATGACGTATACACTGACTTTCACCGTTAAGTTTCCCCATGATGACGATGAAGTATATTTGGCTCAGAGCTACCCATATACTTACTCAGATCTGCAGGATTATCTGCTGGAACTATCGTCACATCCGGTGAAGTCTACATTCACCACCATTCGGTTGTTGTGCAAAACTTTAGCTGGAAACAACGTTCAGTATGTAACGATTACGTCACCACCTATCCAAGGAGATCCTCCAAAGGTAAGTCTATATATGGTATAATTACAAAAATATAATTTGAGTCTTGTCGTAAAATGTGTACGATTGGTGTCTATTTTTTTTACAAAACCATAGCTTCCTTGACAAAATCTGTTTCTAGAAAAAGAAAGCCATCGTTTTGTCAGCCCGAGTTCATCCCGGAGAGACGCCGTCTTCGTGGATAATGAAAGGAATTCTGGACTTCTTAACAAGCGACTGTGGAACGGCCAAAGAACTGAGAGATAAGTTTATATTCAAAATAGTGCCAATGTTAAACCCTGACGGTGTTATAGTGGGGAATAATAGGTGTTCACTCTCAGCCAAAGACCTCAATAGGCAATATAGAACTGTAATTCGAGATGCTTATCCTTCCATTTGGTATACGAAACTGATGATTAGAAGGTAAGTAAAGTCAAAATTTGTTTTTAGTTCAGTACTTAAGTAGTTAAGTGCTAAGCATAGATTGGGGCACTTGGCCGTGGGAAAATTTTTTGAACCATGTGAAAAAGCGGCATCCTTTGATGTTTACCGCTGCCCTGTTCTTCCAATGGAAAGGAACCACTAACGTCACAAGATGGCGGCTTTTAAATGTCATGTCAACTTTCATTTCTTTCTCGTCTGTCAACTGTCAATTCGTGTTCTCATCGGGTAGCTATCACGCCTTCTTTTCAACTATAAGTACTTTAGACAAAAAGACACTATGACGTATCACCTTTCCGTCTATCATTATCAGTGGCATTACAGCTCGTCATGAGCCAAAGCCTTCTTCAGAACAATCTTCCATTCACGCCTGTCTCTGGAAACTCTTCTCCATACTTTAATTCCGACGGATTTTAGATCATTCTCCATGTTATCTTAATACCTAAGTTTTGGTTTTCCTCTGGATCGTCTTCCCACTGGTCCTCTTCGGTGGAAAATTTTTCTGATCGTTGCATTTTCATCTCGCCTGATTACATGCCCTATCCATCGAAGGCGTGCTAATTTAATACATTTTACAACGTCAGGTTCCCCAAAACCTCTGTATAACTCAAAGTTGTAGCGCGTACGCCACAAACCCTGTTCTTGGACTCCTCCATATATTTTCCTTAGAATTTTTCTTTCGACACGTTTTAGCAGTTCTTGGTCGTTCTGTGTAAGTGACCACGTTTCTGACTCGTATGTTAACACTGTATGTAATGACCACTTATTAGTGTTTTATATGGTAATTTTAATTTTTCTGGATAGTTTTGGGGTCATCTGTTTCCTTAAGCCATAATAGCACTTATTGGCAAGCACTATTCTTCTTGTAATTTCTTCGCTGACATTGTTGTCTTTGGTCAGCAGCGAGCCCAGGTAGACGAAGGTGTCCACACCTTACTAGTGTCCTAGTTATAGATCATCAATTAATAATCTAGGTAGGTGGTTGCCTGATCTAGTACAATACATATACTTGGTTTTCTGTGCGTTTATTTTTAATCCCATTCTCAGTGCAGACTCCCTTAATGATCGAAATGCTTCGATCAGAGATTCTGTGGACCTAGCAATAATGTCCATGTCATCTGCATATCCGACCACTTGTACAGATTTATTAAAGATGGTGCTATTCGTATTAATATGGCACTCTCGAATTACTTTTTCTATTGCAAGGTTAAATAAGAGACACGACAGTCCATCTCCCTGTCTCAATCCATTTTTACATTGGAAGAGTCTTGAAAAGTCGTTTTGGATTCTGACTACACTCTTTATGCCTGTGAGTGTAAGTTCCGTTAGTTGAACAAGATGAAGCGGTATTTGAAATTCCACAATAGCCTGTAGAAGTTTTTGTCTGTTGACTGAGTCGTATGCGGCTTTAAAATTAAGAAATATGTAGTGGGTGTCGACTCCGAACTTAAGTGTTTTCTCAGGAATCTGCCTGGCTGTGAAGATTTGATCCGTTGTTGATTTATTGGGTCGGAAAATGCACTGGTAGTTCCCAACTATTTGTTCAGCATAAGGGATCAATCTTCTGTACAAAACGTTGAACAGTACTTTATATGCCACGTTAAGTAGGGTGATGCCTCTATAATTATCACACACCATCATATCTCCCTTTTTGTGAAGAAGGTGCATTACACCTAATTTCCAGTCTGCGCGCGTTTCCTTTCGTAGCCAGATTTCGGTTACTATAGTTTATTCGTCTTCCGGGTTTGGACCGTGTCATTTGTGAGTGACCCAAAAGTGGGTTCATCTGAACTTCAGATGAACCCACTTTTGGGTCACTCACAAATGACACGGTCCAAACCGGAAGACGAATAAACTATAATTCTGACTCTGGCCGTGGAAGCCTACGATTTCATTTCGGTTACTAATTTATGTATGTATTTAATAAGGGTGTCACCACCATTTTTAAAGAGTTCGGCATAGATTGTCCAAACCAGGGCTTTGATATTTTTCAGTTTTGAAATGGCTTTTCAGTCTAATTTCTTCTTCGGTGGGGGGCGGCGCTTGAGCGTTTTCATCCATTTCAGGCAAGATAATTTCTATTTGGTCTTCTTCAGGACTGTCGCTAAGCAGTTCTTCAAAATGATTCGCCCACCTGTTTAGTATCTGTTCTTTGTCACTAATTATGGAACCATCTCTGTCTTTATAGGCTGTTATTCTGGGTTTGAATTCTTTTCTGCAAGATTTTCATAGTCTCCAGGTTTGATCTGGTTCTGCGCTGCCGAAGTCTCTTGTATGTTTCATTTTTCTTTTGGTTAATGGATCTTTATTCTTCGTCAAACCAATTTTCGTTCTATCACTTCTTGTAATATACAGGGTTTAGTCAAAAAGTCAAAACAATTCATGTTGTATAGAGGATAGTTGCAAGGTGTCACTAAAAAGGATTTGAGTGAATAGAATGAATCGCACCTGGCATCAAAGGACGCCGCTTTTTCCCAGAGTTCGAAAAATTTTCCCAGGCCGAAGTGCTCTTACCATGTGAAACTTGGATAATGGATCAGAAGGGAAAAAAACTAGGAAAAGAAAATCCGGAAGAGAAAAATCTTGAGAAAAGTTTTTGATGGTATAAAGGAGGCTAGCGTAAAATGGCGGAGAAGAAAAAACCAGAAGCTAATGAAGATGTATAATAGACCCAAAATAACATAGAAAATCAGGACACGGAAAGTTGATGGCTGGGATATGTTTTACGAATGCTAAAAGAAAAAAATATCCTAAGAGTTTTGCAAGCAGGAGAACAAAAGAAAAATAGAAGAGAGACCACGAAGGAAGTGGTTTAATACCGTCCGGACTGACTTAAAAGTAATGAGAACAAGGGACTAACGAGAATAAGTTAAGAACGGGAAAAAGTTGAAGAATCTAGTCAAGAATAGAAAATATATTGCTTTTAACATCTCCCAAAGCTCACTAATTATTAATTTTCCGTCTTATCTTCATGTTTATTTTCAGACTGTTGGAAGAGTGTGGCGTAGCAATGTATTGTGATCTGCACGCCCATTCCAGAAAACATAATATTTTTATATTTGGTTGTGAAAATCGGCGAGGGAGTGACAGAAGATTACAGGAACAAGTATTTCCGCTTATGTTACATAAAAACGCAGCTGATAAGGTAAGAATTTTTAAAATTAGACATGTTTTTTTTAATGTAACTCTGTAGCTCCGGAAATCGTCTACACGTTATAGATTTATCTTCTCTTCTTTGTTCGCTATTCTCTTTTTTAATCGTTGGCATTCTTTATGTTAACAAGCTGCTGGTATGCTTCTTCGTCGGTAGATACATGTAGAATTTCCTCGACTGTTCGATCTGTCCAATGTTGCGCAATCAGGACAGTTGGTTCTGTCTGACCCTGCATTTTCCTTATAGTTTGATCTAAATAATCAACCGCAGTAAGCAATAAAAAAAGTTCAATTATTTAACCAAAGTATTGATAACATCTACAAGATCTTTAGCATGCGACGATCATACCAGAACTCTTAAGCTTTTAATATAATAATTATTGTCTTAAGAATTGTAGTCAGCGTTGTGTGGCATTCTTGTTTCGCAAACTTCCAATACAGATTTATAGGATCTGTCCATTTTCCTTATTAGGTTTGATATAAGGAATTTAGTTACCACTGCTTTATGGCAAGTTAAATAGGTCTACTAAATGACGGTGGTAGCAAGTAAGTACCTACTCTTCCACAATGTCAGTGAAGGACAGATTTACTTCAGGGATGCGACCCTGTAATACGCAAGTGTTGATTCTTTCTTAACTCCTGTATTGGAGAGAAATAATATCCAAACGCTAATACCTACCATACCCTACCAATTTCTCAAACCAACTCACCAAACCGCCTAGCAAACATGGTTTTTAGATGCCAAAACCTCTTCAGCATGAACAGATATTCAATAAAAGGACACCCAGTTTCCAATATCTCGCTTGTTCCCAACCAACCAACCCAACCCTTGTTTTCGTTTTTCCACCCTACGGACGGAGGTTTTAGGAGGAACCAAGGGTGCAAAAGTTGTAGATATTTTGTTTCTTTTTTGCAATTCCAAAATTAATAATCTTAGCAAAATTTAGCTTGTTTATTATCTGCATAACTTTAAAGTTTCTAATACACCCTTATTAATATTCTTTCTTTTTTAGTTTAGCTTCGAAAGCTGTAAATTCAAGATCAAAAAGAACAAAGAAGGTACCGGAAGGGTAGTGATGTGGATGATGGGCATAGCTAACAGCTACACCCTGGAAACTTCACTAGCTGGATCGACATTGGGCTGTAGAGCGGACACTCACTTCAGCATCCAAGATTTAGAACAAATGGGCAAAACTTTCTGTCAAACCCTGTTGGACTTCTATGATGAAGATCCCAAAAAGGTAGAATCGAGTATTTCAGATTCGTGCAGGTTGTCTCTCACGTGTTTGGGAATGTATCTGGCCGCTTTTTTCGGATATCATTTCGTAGTGTACAAGATTATAGAATCAATGTTTTTTAATATATCATAATTTTGTTTAATAAATGATTCCGATTTGAAGTAGTGTTTTATTTTAGGAAAAACTGAGGGTGAAAATCGTGGAAAGGTTGGTGAAAGAGGGATCCAATGCTGATGAGCCCACCAATATTAAATTAAGTGATTACTCAAGGTACGTAGAACTTTAAATAAAAGTTTTTGATGTTTTTATACAAAACTGTAATATAATTTCTCTAAAACTACCAGAGAACAATTTTGTAAGTTATAATTAGGCAGAAGCGTTATATAAAACAATAAGACTTCTATCTCACTTTATCTTAAGAGTTTGCTTAATGGACTATCTAAGCTCTGACGTCACTAGTTTCTGAAAATAGTTAATAATAACGAGAATTTTGGGTGATGTATAACTTTTGAAACCATGTGTAATTATTGTTGTAAAAGTTATTATTCCGAAAATTTCAGGAATTGTAAATTTTTCACTGTAAATGTAAATTGTAGATGTCATTTTACTGCTACGAACGGTTGTGCTATGTTTATTTCCTAGGGTTTCTCGTGTAGTTATATGTATAGTTTCTTTTATTGTGTAGATAGTGTGTGGTACTATGCATCCACGCTATTAAACGTATGTTTTTCTTGTAACTTCTCGTCTAGTCAGAGGTTAGTTAGAGGTAACGCCAACTGGGATGTCACTAATTTGCATAATCTAGCGCATCTGACAATTATGTAAGATTCGCCTTTGAAGTAAGTGATTGGTCTTGGTAAATGAGAGTAATACTAAATCGGTGTGCACTATTTACTAGATACAGCTGAAACATATATATTGAATAAAAGTGATTTTTTTACTTCTCTTTGAGTTTTGAATATAGTAAAAATTTGAAAATCGTTTAAACCATTTAGTAAGAGTATCATTTACTTCTTTTTTCTATTTATTTTTTTTGATCTTTAAGTTTGATATGCTTCATTTTTTTAAATTTACTCTTATTGTGTAAGAAACCGTATTGAGCATCCATTTTTACCTGTAAATCAGTTGGATGGTAGGGACTTCACTAGATCTTTCATTAAAACAAACCGACTATCTTTACGAGTTTCACGAAAAACAAGTATTGCTAGAACTATGGGCTTGAATAAAGTACAACTAGCTCAGTATTTTGAAATTTTGGAGAATTCCATAAAAATTATAAGTTATTTCCCAACCGTATCTATAATGTCGATGAAACGGGCATTCAGACAGTCCCAAACCATCTGCCCAAAACTCCAGTTGCAAAGAGAGATGTAGCAAAAGCCGTAGCTGCCAAGCAAGGACCAAAAATTACGGCTGTTTGCTCTATGGGTGCAAGTGGCCACATGTCCCTCCATTTCTCTTATTTGTTCGAAAACGGATTAATAATCTACTGCCTGCGACGGTTACTGATAGTGGTTACATGAACACTCCTACGTTTATCAAGTACCTGGAGCATTTTAAATAACATACAAGTCCAACAGAGAAAAACAACGTTCTTGTGATTCTAGATAATTATGTATCGCATACAAGTTCTCAAGCAGAAATATTTGCAAAAGATAATTTCATCGATTTATTAAGTTTGTCACCACATAGCAATCATAAGACCTAGTTACTCGATTTATCGAAGATAAATAGAAAACCAACTAGGAAGTTTGAAGTCAACCCTACTAACATCGACACCTAATAAGGAGAGACTCTTAGAAGAACAAGAAGAAAAAAAGGCAGCAGAAAAAGAGAAAGAGAGCATTACCGAAAAATTAAAAGATCAAATCTTAAAATGCTAAAGTTCGTGCTGCCAAAAGCAAAGTTTTCGACGAATCATCATCTGATGAATCAGTAGTACTCTCATATCATGAAAGTATTGATTTTTGTAACATTAATTTTTCCAATAACGATGAAGAGCAAGAGATTGATGTTGTACCAAATATTTTACCTGATGACTTTTTCGTGTGAAGGTTTTTGGAAAAAAATCATACAGATTATTTGTCGCCAAAGTCTGCAAAGTAAATGATGACGATTACGAAGGCATATTTTTTAAGCAACTGCCCACAACATTTCGTTTTCGTGAGACAATTTCGAAAGGACGATATTGCTTTAAAGCTTTGAAAGCCAATAAACTCTTTCAGATGTTCAAATTCAGTGGGATTCTCTGACCACCTCGCCAAATACAGTTATCTGTTAAAGTAACGTTTTGTATTTTACGGTTTGTTTTTTTTCAATGAAGATTAGTTTCTTTGAAACGCCTATCATCTCTTTTATTTGAAGTTTTATACATTTTGGTTTTAAGGCAAAAATACGAACTTGCGTACTACTGCCCCATTTGTAGAGGCAAGAGTACTCAAATAAAGATTTTTTAAAAACTTTTTTTTTCATTTATTAGTGAACTTATAGAACTACTGTCGATACTTAAAATAGAAAAACAATATGTAAGCTCTGCCTTAATAACATTGGAAAAGTTCTAAACTGTTAAAATTTCTGAAGACGACAGGAGATAACGAACCTGCGTGTTTTTGCACCCAACTAACCTACCCTATCTAAATTTATTCAAGATATGTAAATAGGGTTAGTTAATTATTCTCAGTTTACAAATATTTTTGGCAATACTAGATATAACAAATTTATATTCCATTCTATTATATTTATCTTATGTTCCAGTGATGATGGGGATACGTCCAACAGCAGTGATGAAGTCGGACGGGACTACGACGAAGATATTCAACTGCCACTAGTTCCCCCGTGTTCCCCCGTAGTGCTAGTGAAAAAAAATAGATCGAAGTTCTCCATATCGGCACCAAAAGCGAGGCCTCAAAACGCTACCCTAAAGAGCCCCACAGTGCCTAGAAAACCCCTACCAGTAAATTAACAATAGTAATACTATAATATATAAGTGTTTTTTAAGTGGTTGTTAAATATTTTTTGTGATATCGAAACTGATTTCATCAATTAGACTTTCTTATTTGTCCATTGTTTGGGTAAACATCTGGTTATGTATATATTTAGTTGTATTAATTTTGACAAAGATTATTAAATTATACTCTGTTTTTAAACAGATAACTCGCAAGTTTGTTTGCACTTTTTGGTTTTAACCAAGGTTATATCAATGATTCAAGACTGTATCTCATCAAGCTTGTGTGACGTAGTTCACTCACTTTTTGAAGGTTAGTTTAGGTTAGGTTACGTGTTTCAAATGTAGTTCCAGTATTAGCCGTTTATTTTTGTATTTTGTTATTTTTTGTCATTCATCCATTTCGAGATTAAAGTGAGAAATCTAAATCATTATTTATTTGACACTTTTTCAGCGGCGGCTCGTGGCCTAAAAAAGTGGTGAAGATGACGAAAGCTTGCCGGAGGCAAAAGGACTTTTAGTTTCACCTACTTCGCGCCCAAATCTCATTAAAAATTCGTTAAAAAAATGAATAAAGTTTAGGGCCCTAATAACTTGAAAACAGTTTTTAGGGCACTTATACTAGATACGATTTGTTCTGCTTGCCTGGGGTATTTTAGTTCTGAAACTTGACATTTCATTGAGGGTTTTTTGGCGATTAAAACAACACGCCTGCTAAAACGGGTTGGTAAGTTTCGATTCAGCCGCCCACTCTGGGACAGATGCTGATTGCAGCCGACCACTCTGGATCAGACGTATATGCATCGAGCAAAAAGATAAAAGAGGGAATCTAATCGTTATGAAAAGGAGACCAAAAAAGTGGCCTCTGATGGCGGACATATCCGGAAATGCAAAGGCGCTAAATTTAAATTTTCCAACACTTGTTAACAATACCTGTAAAATATTTTTCAGACAAGAAAGCTTTAATTAAATATTAACGATAATAGTCTAAAAAGTGACATAATTGGTAAAAAACTTCAATATAAATAAAATTTCATGTGACAGTTGGGACAAACAATAACATAACCAAACTAAATTTGACTTCTTAAACAAGGAAAGAGACTGTCTTTCCTTGTTTAAAGTGGCCTCTCAAGATGGCACTTCCTGTCTAACAATATTGTTGTCCCCACTACTTTTACATTCCCTCTTTTATCTTTTTGCTCGATGCGTAGATGTTTAAAATACTGGTTGGTCGACCATGTAAAAGACCAAAAATCTTCATTTTTGCAATGCCTAAACGGAGTCTCTAATATATTACACACCAAGTCATTAATTGGATTCTTGGATTATTTTTGTCCAAACGAAATCCACGAGAACACTTTACCTATATCCGAAATCCGAAACAAACTACAGAGAAATGTATTAATAAAGTCCATTAAACAAATAAAATTAATACTGTGACTAAACTAAACTAATAAATACTATACTCTACACTATACTTTATAAAAATATCTATATAATAGACTAAATTTCAAAATATTGTCGCTGAGAGAAATTTCCGAACAATAGGATTATCAAATACACATCCAACAGTGCTAGTGAAGACGGATAATGAATTTTTAGATGTAACTGCACTCACAAGTTTTCTCAGCTATCACTAAGGATAGGCTGACGTCACGTTTCCATGGCAACCGTGAACGCTTATGCAGATGGATTTCGCATTTCAAAAATTATATGACGGACAGGACTTGACCGTTAAGTACCTACCGCTAATAAAGCTTTTAATTTTTAGATTAATTAAAAGAGAATAAATAATTGATTTTAGAATTTAGATATAATAATGTTGCTTTCATTTTTTATTTATTTGTCTCAATTTAATTATATTTTTTTAGTGAACCTCACCTTCACCTACTTCACCTGGCCGGCCGCCGCTGCACTTTTTAATACTATCTTTGATTCCTTTGTCAACCTTGTTTCTTCTTTATCGTTGTTCCTGTATCCAATTTTATATTTTCTTTGTTATGTAGGTTTAACATATTTAAAACGAGCAAAAACATAAATCGTGTTGTTTATTTTTAGATATGTAAGGCCACTTTAAAGTTGTCCTTGTCTGACAAAGAAAGCAGTGATTCTGATAGTGATGATAGTGAATCAGATTCTGAAAAAGTCAAATTAAAAAGGATCAAGAAGAAACGGAAGAAAAAGCACTCAAAGAAAAAGAAGGTTGGGGAATTTGTATATATACATGTTATCTATAACTGTTTGTTTATATGTTTGTGATTGTCGATTGCTACTGACTAGGAAATACGTGACAAAAAAAAGAATATGACTTATGAATAGAATAGTGCTAAAAAAGTAGTGTAGTAAATTTTATGTTTATTTATTTTATATTTATAATATTTCTTATCTTTATACTTGCTATTGTCAATAATTTTAATCTTAGACTGAGCATATCAATGATTCTATTTTTTCCATTATGTCCTATTTACTTTTGTAACCATTTCCTTATATATCATGTCGATCATCTTCTTTATTTAAAAGCTTGTTTACTTTTAAGTCCTCTAAAATACCAGGTTTCTGCTGAAATAAAGATGTTTCTTTGAGTACCTTAATCTTAGTATTTCGGTTAACACTTTTTCCTTTCAAGGAATTTTCTTTACTTTTCAGAAATCGTTTTGCTTTGTTTTCTAACTTTGTTTGCTCCTTTAAATTTTTTTCGCGTTCTTTTTTCTCTAGTTCTTTTATAAAGTGAAGAAAAAATTACAAAACTAGATCTTTGGGTGTTACGTATTCCCTTACGTTCGGGAATTTTGGCCCAAGGCAAACAATCTTCCATGTTATTGCTCTTATTTATAGAGTTTTGACTAGTGGAGGAACTGAATCAAAAGTTGAAATTGCAGCGGTCCTGTGATTGTTTCTTGAGTATTTTCTGAGTAAAGTGCTAAACTTTGTGCCACTTTTGTATTTTGTTCAGGAACTTCTTCCAAAAGAACAACAGCTACAGATTCTATATCGTAAGTTAAATTCATTGCTGCTCCCTCTTCTACTACAGAAATATCTTCCAAAAATATTTCATCTATTACAATTTGTGAATTATCGCCTTCTTCATTATTTAGATTATTTGGTTGTAAAATGTTAAATAGATGAAGTAGTACCCTGAAACTTTTGCTAGTGTTATCAGTTTCCATTCTTACTGGCTTCTTTTAAGAGCTGTGAAGTATCTTCATCGCATCTGTTGCAAAAATTGGTCAAATTGATTGATTCTATTGTGGTTTTGCCAAATTTAACTACGGTATATTTCTTACCTAAGCATTTGCTGTAGTCAATAATATCCGCGTTCCAAGGACAGAGACCACACACTCTAAAACCACTTAAGATAGCCGATGGTTTAAGAGTATCTACCGCTTTTTTTTTAATTGGTGCAAAATTACTCTTACTTAGTTGTACAAATAGATTCTGTCTCTTCCAATTTAACAAAGCTCTTTTCCACGAATTTTTAAGTGGCTTGAAACTAGAGACGTCGGCGGGTTGAAGAATTCTGATGCCGTTTGGATATAATGCCATTAAGATTATTTAGAGTTCTGTACATAGTTGACATAGATGGTATGTTAGGGCGAGCGCCCACCAAAGTGGCGTGGTACGTAGCAAGTGGCAAATAGCACGCGTCTAGCATGTTTCTTAAAATGTAACCAATGAAAACGAATGATTCAGCGTACACCAAAATGACAGTGACGTCATTCATTCTAATCATTCGTTTTCATTGGTTACATTTTAAGAAACATGCTAGACGCGTGCTACTTGCTACGTGCTACTTGCCACGCCACTTTGGTGGGCGCTCGCCCTTAAATGTGTTTTGTGCCCGTCTACAAACATTATAATTGAAAATGTAACATGTTGTTTTACTAATATATAATCATGAAAAACATCTGCTCGCATCCAACCTTTTTCACTAATAGCAATACCCCACTCATCTTGAACACCTTCTGCAATGCTTTTGGGTAATCTTTAAAAAGCTTAAGCGATCATCGGTGGCATTATAACTCCTTCAGCAGAAAATGTGAACATGACGGTAATATTTGTTTTCGATGGGCCTTGCTCTATCTGATAAACATTTTTGTTGAACCCTACCTTCTTTCGGACAAAGGGTAAAATAAGTTTCATCTCCGTTGTAAACTCTGATAGGATGAGAAAGAATGTCAAAATAGTTCTTTTCCATTAAATATTCTTGTATATTATTAAACCACTTTCGGATATCATTTTCTGACACGTTGCCACTAGCATTGTTTACAGCTTCAGGAATTCTATTTGTTAAATTAGGGTGTCTTACAAACGGTTGATACCAATGATCCCCAGGAAGATTGTTTTTAAATGGATTTGGTCGGTGGTTCTGATCCAAAAATGACTTAACCAAAGCTTGGATGTTCTCTTTTCTTTTTGGAAACCCTTCTGTGACAATCTACTATCCATTTTTCTAATAGAGTTTCTTCTGAAATACTTAAATAAGTATTTTGATCATGTTATAAGCATTATATCTATACTGTGGTTATATTTTTTAAGTTTGGTATTAAAATTATTAATGTTAAAAAAAACGATAGTGAATATTGTATAAGGAGAGCCAATATGGCCCTGTGTTTTCTACATGCAAGCTCAGTCTGCCATAAGGCTAATATTGAATATTATATAAGTGAATTTTACTATAGTGCCAATCACAACAATTTTTTTTTGCTTTTTTTTCTGCAAAAATGTAATCGTCCCCACTTACTCAATTTAAGTTGCACATTTATTTACTTTAGTATTATTTCTTTTCTTAGAAAAATAGAGAAGCTTCACAGCCAGATGGAATTATTGTAATTCAAGTAGAGGTAAATGCCGTCTGATTGTTGCTACTATGTACTTTTTAATGGTGCTAAGATTTTATCGTTGATTTTAGCCAGTTCAAGATTTTTCCGATTGCGAAATACAATTCAACAGAGCCAAGAGATCTATTTCAGTCTTTGATTTAATCCCGACAGATACTCTGAAGAACCACATCTTTACGAATATTCCAAAGTGTAAAACTCAATATTCAATGTAAGTCTTTAGTAAAATATAAACTTTTATACTCAATTTAGAAATTCACAATAGCATCAACGAATAAAGACGCATTATAGAAGTACATTAATTATTTCAAATATGAGAAATGGTCACGGTTAGTATACCTACTTCAAAATATTCCTGTACATGGCGAACGCATAAAATTTATTATATTATTTGTAGATTTCTACATATTTAAATTTAAAAAATGAATCACAATGTGTTTATAGTTCTGAAGAGATTCAGTTATTTAAAAGTCTTAAAATTTAAAACAATGTTTTATTTCCTACAAAAAAAAAATTGTATGAGTAATTTTATAAAATGCAAAACTTTAAGGCTAGATTTTAAACATTTCCAGCCGAACTCTTTTATATTTCAGAAGCAGTAGGGGAAGTGCGGGAACAGTGTTACAACTTTTTTAATTCGTCACAAAGTTGATGGACATATTAATATCTATTGAAAAAAGTGCAACCTTTTATTCGAATTATAATATGCACTTCTTAACAATATTTTGACTGCTGTCAATAAATAAACAATATGAACTCCCTGTCAAATTCATTGTCGTACCTACTTAGTTTCGAAAAAACAATTTTTAATAATATGAAATAACAATGGTCAAAATAGGTAAATAGGTCAACTGAAACTGATGAATAATCCATTTCCATTTCTTCGCCTTCCAAATTGTTACTAGCATTACTTTCAGCATAAGGAACTTCGCCTTCTGATTCCTCAGAACTCTCGGCATATTTTTTATCCTTAATGATTTTTTTCTTTACAGCCTTCGTTTTCTTTCTACTTCGTTCCAATAATTCATTTACTAATTCGTCCTTAATAGGAGTGTCTGTTAGCACCATGGATTTTCCTTTTTTCCTTCCTGTGATGTTTGTTTTCCTTGGTGGGGCTTTTGGAAAGGGTCTAACGAGTTCAGGTGAAATTAAAGTTGTTTGTTTGACCAATACACTTGACATAGAGGGTCTCTCTTCTTGTTGGTTCTGTATGTTCCTAGGAGGGGTAGATGAAGGTATTACAATGCGAGGTGAAGGCGAAAGAGTTGAAGTGGAAGGACTAGTTAGAGACTTTGAAACTATAGTCTCATGATTCAAATCTGTTACATGTAATGTATGCTCATATGCTACGTCACAAGGAACTTGTGCCGAGGTAGAAGGCTGAGGTTGATCTCTGTTTGAAGTCTGCAATGAAGTTGCTGTAGCCAGAGAGCGGTCTGTCACACTGGATGACAAAAAGTAATCGTCTGTAAATATATTTCGATTTAAAGGCCATATGCCTGTCGAAGAAAACCCATTGACTATGTTTGAGATAGGGAATGCTTTAGGAAGTGCTTTACCAAATAGAGCAGCAACATCATAGATGGAAATGACTTTTCCAGGGTTGCAGATCATCCAGTCGTTGCAAGCAGAATTATAATTGGATTTTAAGCTTTTATAAACAGTTTTGTCAAGAGGTTGAAGTTTCGCACTTGTATGTGGTGGCAACGTAACCATAATTATCCCGCTTTGTTTTGCAAATTCCAAAGAGCCAATTGTGATATGCGATTCGTGATTGTCAAAAATTAGTATCACGGGGTTTTCTTTTGAACACTTAACATGTCTTTGGAAATGGATCAGGACCTCAACAAAAATTTCCCCGTTCATCCAACCGCTCTTTGTTGCACTGCTACTTGAGCCTGCAGGGGCACCAAATAACATTCGATTTTTGAAATGTACCCTTGGGAAAACTAAAAATGGTGGAACAGTGTTTCTAACAGCATTGATAATACAACAAGCGGTAATCAGCACTCCTCTCTCGCCTGATGTTACCTGGCCAACTTGTTTTTGTCCTTTATCAGACAGCACATTCGGTGGATTATGTACCGTGGTGATTGCAGTTTCATCCAAATTATATATCAAATCGGGGGATATGCTATCTCCAAATTTTCCATATACTTTGATTAAATTTTCGAAGAAAGCATTTACATTAGTCCGATTAAAGCTTGTGGCTCTTGATAAGCTTGTTGCTTCAGGTTTGCGGAGAGACAATATGGGATGCCTCTTACGAAATCCCACTAACCAGTCTATTCCCGCTGAGTTATTAGTATCCCAGTTTTTCGGGATTTTTAGGCCATTGCGAACCTGAAACATAAAAATTCCAAGTAGACAAATTTAAATTGTTGTAACAATTTACTTACGGCCAATTGATAGGCTAGTCCCAAGGTATCTTTGCGGGCCAAACAATGATGTATTTTACTTCCTATTATTAAATATGATTCGAGTTCATCTTCCAACTCTTTGGAAAAAATTTGATTTATTTTGTAATTTGGTTCAAATTTTATTGATTGAGGATTTTGTGAATTTTTGTATTTATTTATGTAACGTTTTAACGTCATGTGACATAATTTGTATTTTTTCGCTGCTCCTCTAATGCTCATTTTATTTTGAAGCACATCAAGAACAGCTTTTTTGAGAATCTTCTCATCGGTTTTTAAGAGGGTTCTTACACCTTTGCTTTTACGTGGCATTTTCTCACTAAAATAAATTTGTAATCAAGAAATTTATAATTAATTGTTTTACTAGGGTTACAGTGTTACAAGAATTTTTGTAACAGTGTAGGTACCCTGTAACACTGTTCACTTTTGAACGCCAATGCACATAGAACTAAATTTTTAGCGCGGTAATGAAATATAGGTTATGGTTTTAAGTGTAAATCCAATAGAAATATATTTACTTTCCATCCATAATATAAAATTAATGAATTACTAACGTACTTACCCATATACTCATACACTTAGATCTTAAAAAATTTACTTTTCACAGGTATAAAAACTGTTATGAAAATATGTGACTACAAAACACTTATATTCAACTACGATAACTGATTTATGGAAGGCATCCGACCTTTAATGAGGTTACGGTACATGTAGTTCGCCTATCTACCAAGAGGTGGAACAGAAAGCAAATGTAACACTGTTCCCTTTGTAACACTGTTCCCGCGACCGCACTTCCCCTACCTAGTAATTTGTGGACCATGGATAGTGCGATAATGAACGGGGGATCGCATGAGCGCTCCCTGTTGTTGTGGGATCAGAAGAAAACAGTAAAATATTTCCGCACAGCATATACCAAAAACTTAAGTTGAAATCTGTTTCTATATGCGTACATATTCGTTGATAGTTCAGTTTTCATGGCAAGAGATTACAGAGGTCTGTACAAATAGTAATTGAAAAAAGAAAAATATAAATATCGATACACTAGCTGACCCGATAGATGTCCAGTTTTAGCTATATGAGTCAAAACATTAATAGAATCTGGCCTGTTTTTGCTTCTAAAATTCCGTCGAAAGAAGGTCACTGGAACTCAATAAATTCGACCAACCAATGAAGCGGTTAAACGACATTTGCATCGTGCCAACCATCAAAAGCAAAATTGTTTAACACGCCAAATTTAGATAATGAATAGATTTTATGAAATTTTTCAATTTCCGGTGCACTTCGCTTAAATTTATGGAATTTATTTATAAAACTCAAAAAAAATGAATGAAACGGATAAATTCCTTATCAAATTATAGTGTATTAATATCAATACTCCGAAAAACTTTTAAAAACAGCAATACAATATAAAATGAAAATGATTTGTCATAAAAACTGCACTAGAGGACATTGTTCTTAGAAAATAACTGTTTAAATTGGAAATAAATGATGATCGATTGTTCTTTATTTTGTATAGAAAACACGATAAGAAAAAAGATGAAATCAGCAAACAATTGGCGGAAGTACAAGCTAAACTGTTTACTTTAAAAAATAAATTATGGTTCGGTGTTGGCAACGGAGATACAACGTTGAGTTGGGGTAAAAGAAACTTTGTAAATGACACTCACAAGAAATCAGCTCAACAAAAAGAAGGGTAAGTATTTTATGTCTTGTACATTAGTGGTATCTGACTCTCTGTGGCGATTTCCTACCATACGAGCAACTATTTATATCCTGGGCTGCTCTCTTGGACTCAGAGAATGTCTTGCTACTGGTTTTCTCTACTTGATTGTCCATCAATTGGGTGAGCTCCACTTCTGGGACCTTCAACATTTCCCGAAATTATGTTTCTTAAGATTATCTTACTTCTTCCTGCAATATGTCCAAAAAACGTGATGCCTGCGAGACAAATGGACAAGAGTCAAGTTTGAATGTTAAGCTCTTGGAGGACTGAGTTATTTGGTCTGTGCTCTGTCCATTTAATCCGAAGCATTCAATGCTTCAATGCCTGTTAATCCAAGAAAACAGGTGATCATAGTACTTTCCAATTCTCGAGCTTTTTCTATAAGCTGTCACAAGCCTGCTTATTCTTGTAGTATTTTTCTATCCGAAATGTGTGCAAAATTTGATGATTCTCAATAGAATATATTCTTCTTCTTCTTTTTATGTAGACAAGACTCTGTCTTTGGTACGGTATTTCTATTTAAGTTGTACTCTAAGTTGTTAATTATAACTTTATTGATAATTTTTTATACTGCAGTTCAATGTTTATTAAAATAAATTTGAAAGACCAACGGCAAAATTACACAACTTTGTCTTACTCCTTTTAAAATAGCTATTTCTTTTAATGTATTCCCATCAATTCGAACGAAGTCAATTTGATTAGATTGATGAAGTAGTTAGCAATAGACTAAACTTGCAATATTGCCGTATCTATCCATTGTATAAATGTTTATTGAATATTCAATCCTGGATGCCATGTGGTATTGTATTCCTTGGTTTAAATTCTCACATTCTCTTCTTATACCACTTTTCAATATCTGTTAACTCTCGAGTGCTATTGAGGAATCTTCTTAATTATACCACTTTAATGTTACTTTGTACAGTTCTAATCAAGAAAATAATATATGATTTATTTTTTTAGGAAGAGTAAAAGTGCAAACTTGAAAAAGAGCCAAAAAAATGAGAAGAAGTCTAATTTTAAGATGACCAAGGATGCAGAATCTCAGAACAAACCATCTGAGAATGGGTATAACACTATAACTTTAAAATTTCCGATTTCAAGTTAGTTTCTGGGGGAAATTAAACATATAACAACATATATCACTCGTATTTTACATTTAACTCGTCGTTTTAATCATACCAGTCAACTCCCCATCATCCAAGAGCGGATGATCTGTGGGAGGATTATCCGCAAGCCTATAGAAACCACTTTTATTCTAAATGAAAACGTATTTTATAAACTAGATCTAATGTATTATTTTTAATGTATAATGTACATATATTATAAGCAGAAATATAATATTCTATTGTTACAGTGTAAAGTGACCAAAGAAACATATTTTCTGACGCGACGCTTATGATTGCATTCACTATTTCCGAAAATTCATGATTGTCACGTGATTTCAGTTACTCTTAACCAGTTCAGACGCATGACTTTGTATGACTAATTTCATTTATTTGTTTGTCACACTAAGCTCTTTTTCTGCTATTTGGTGAAACGAAGACCTTGACTCTATATTTTGGACTATATAACTCTATATTTTGGACCCAAAATGAAAGTTATATTGTAACGAAAATATTTTGCCTACCAAAGGGTTCATTAATACAGGGGGTAGAAAATTGAGGGAAGAAACTATTGGGGTGGAGATAAGGCAAGCAAAATAATCGCTACTTGTGCGAACGGCACTCAGGGTTTGGTAGGAGAGCTGGGGTCGTGGATAAGTAATTGATAAAGGGGTTGGATTGGGGCAACTACAAAAAAATGAAATAAAGGGGTCATTAATCTCTTGGGATAAACAAAATAAAAATAAACAGCAAACAACTCAAGGAATTTAATATAGGGAGCCACTTAAGGTGCCTAATTATGCCTATTACAACCACTAGTTATAACTAGGGAATTAATTATAAAACACCAAAAAAATATCTTTTTCAAATAAAAATCAAAAAAAGGTTAGTTAAAAAAAGATAAATAAAATGTTAAGAAAACAAAATTTAGCATTTATTTTTGTGTCACCACAAACAGTTACAACATGGAGAAATACAAAAATACAAAAAACTTACGTGTGTCATCCGCTTACAAACTCCAGGAGTTGGAGATACTACATAAAACTTACAAATGTTACCGCATTACAATTTTTAAATGTTACAATTTCTAAATTTTAACGCAAGCAATTATTGTTCTAAAAAAATATCTGTCTTTACTTTGAAATTAAGCAAACAATAAACAGTTACCTGGATTCACATATTTCCACTTAACGAAAAGAAAAAAAAACTTGTTACATCTCTGGATTTTAGCTGCTAGGACGAAACTCTGGAACAAGGGGAAACCAATTCCATACTGGAACGAAGATCTAACGTAGACGGGGTTGGATTAAGCAGGCAAACAACAAAAAAAAGCTGGTGGGACATCCTATATATGTCTTCAAAATTGTACCATGCTCTGGGACATCACACAAATTATTTTTTCTACTGCCACATATTTCCACAAAAAGGGCCAAAACAGGATAAACACGAATTCGACGACGAATTCCGATCCATACCTGACATTACGAAGACCCAAGTATGAATTAAGATCCATACCCAACACTACGAAGACCCAAGTATGAATCAGATCCACACCTAACACTACGAAGGCCCAAGTATGAATGACGAATTTAAGAATTCGTTCCTAACTTGAAAATAAAACAACGCTGACATAACAAAAACATAACGAAACAACGTAAAAGATTCCATTTGCGACGTATAAAAATTAAAAGAAATCGCTGAATTAAATATCTTTAAAATAATAAACAACTCTCAAATGGTTTTATTACTTGGCAACGCTAAAATGATTGAAAACACTTTTGGGTATTTTAACTTGAAAGATACGAATAACAAACATGAAAAAAATTCTTCGTTTTATTTTTTAAACATATATAAGGCGATCTCAATATATTTCGTATACGAGGGGATTTCAATATATTTTAAAGAATCAATGAATTGAAAATGCTACAATATAACAAACAACAAATTCCAACTTAATATTTCAACTTAAAAGCCAATCCAAAAGTATGTCTTTGAAATAATTATGGCTCTCTGTGATTAGAGGCCTTATTGGAGCTCCAGAACAAATACAAAGTTGAAGACCATTAGCAGAAAAACCAGTGAGTAAATTTAAAAGGCATATTCCCGTGGAACTGTGAGATCCAAAATCTTCTCATATTCCCCAAAGAACTACTTCCTCGAGATGTGCCAACTGCAGCACGACAGCAAATCTTAGCAGAATAGAGTGGAAATTTTCATCTTGCAATGTCGGACTTTCTCTCAAACACCACAAAACTTGTTTTGCAACGTTTCATGCAAAACAACATAAATAATAGGAAGAAAGAAGTGCTACCTGGTTTTTATTTCTCATTAAATTTTTTGTTACGCTATGTTCCTGCGGGCATCTTGTGAAAACCACATCCTGTAGGATATACTTCAGGATTAGCATTGTTTATTTTGAGTGAATTTGTTTTAAGAATATACTAAGATAAATAAATTTCACAAAAATCTCAAAAATATATTTCAACTCGAACGCTAGCTTTTGCAAGCGATGGTTAAGCAAATGGACAAAAATCTATCAAAAATCAAATCACGAATATTTTAGCGACGCTACTAAAAATCAAACCGAAGTTAACGCTGATCAATAAGGTAAAAAGCTAGATCTTTTTAGATCTAGCTTTTTACCTAGATCTAGATCTCGCTAGGACCCTAGAGCAGGAAAGCTACCTGTTAATGACTTAAACGAAAAGAGAAGGTGGTGGGATGAAAAATATTTCAAGAATAGTTTGTACCTTGATTTGAAGCAAAAGCTAAAAAATATTTAAAGGCAAACAATTTGCCGTAAAAGCTGTGTTATTAATTGATAACGCTCTTTCTCATCCTAAACGGCATGTTCTTAAGTCTGCTGACGCCAAAATATTTGCGAAATTTTTACCTTCAAACACAACGGCCTATGGACCAAGTCGTCATTGCATCAATGAAAACAAACGACAGAACAAAGTTACTTCGCTCAAAAATTTAAGAAGAATTAATATTTACAAGAATTTTGGTAGTCATTCACTATTCTGAACTGAATTTACGAAATCACATCTACGTGGTAGAAGGTAAAGTCTTCAACAATTTAAGAAAACTGTTAAAAAAACATGTAAAATGGTGAAGAACTAGCTGTTGGTGAAGACGAAAGTGAACTGCCTGACCTTACAAGATTAAAGAAGGTAATTCCTGGGGTGGAGAATGTTTACGCAAGACGAAGCGGCTTTGTGTCATGTGAATGAAGTTCTAGAATATCTAGCTAGAGAACCAAAACGACACGCTGCTCGCTGAAAAACTGATGCTACGTAAAGTGCATAATTAAGTAGATTTAAGAAGCACGTTTTCTAATTAAAAAGTCAGAAACAAGTAACAGACTACTTTCAAAAAGTGTAAAAAATGCAAGTATACATTGAAAATTGTAAATTAAAACTTAAGGTGAATCTAAATTTTTATTTTTTGCTTTTATTTGACTTCTTCAACCAGTTAGTGACTTATCTGCAAGTTTTTTTATCCGCCTCAACAGTGTCAATCAACTACACGGATAAACGGGAGTTGACTGTATTTAATACCAAGTAAAGACAAAAAATGTACAGTAGTATTTAAGCCTAATTTTAAAAATAACTTCATTCTTGATAATATATAGCGTATTAATACAGAAAAATGTACATAAACCAAGAAACAAGTTGTTGTTATCATTACAGTTGTTGCAGAAAATTGGCTGTAAATATTCAAGCAACCTCCAATTTTGTTTGACATTTAATTTCTCAAACATTTTAAACTCAGTTATCGGTTCTTACCATAAAAAAAGACCAAATAATATTTTGTCATATATACCAGTAGTTTCTTTGCTTGAAAAATCACTAACAGGCAGTTAAAATTTCTCTGTATATCAACTGTCTGTTGACATAACATCATCTGTTATCATCTTCAATTAAACTTAATATTGCGTTGTTCAATGCAAATTTAACACCATCTGTTAACCAGAGATTGCCAGAGATTAGTGTAAGGATTAATTTAATAATTTTCTTTCTATACACTTACATTTAAGTTTGCATTGCATTAATTTGGTATCAATTCGATTGTTTTAGATTAAGGCGTAAAACAGTTGTCGACCTCCTACAACCACAAAACAATAAGGAAAAGGTGAAACTACGCAAATCCAGAAGTTTACCTGACGCTTCTTCATTCGAAAACATTGCCAAAAAGTTGACGAACACCGACGAAGAGAAAAACGACTCGAAGAAAAAGAAGAAGAAGAGTATCAAGCTTGTGAAGAAAGTCAAAGTGCTAAGTAATGCGAGAACTTTTATCAAAAAGACTGAGTAATTTCTAGTGCGGAGTTAAAAATGGGGATGCTAGGGATTTTTAAAAAATTTTAGTGCCTTTTGGGTAATTGTAATTGTACATTTGTAAGTTGTTTTTATCAGATTTCATTGTAATTTATTATCAAATGAGGTTAAGTACAATTGTATTCTGAGTTCTCTGTTTATTATTTTACCTTTTGTTTCAAGATAAGACGAATTCCATGAAAAAGAAAAAGGACAGCTGACAGTATTGATAATATATTTATTGCTATAAACTATCTATATGGATAATAGCTACAATAAAGTCACAATTTTACCAAGTACAGCGATCTTGAAATACAAATAAAAAGACAATGTGTCATTCTGAAGAACCTTCTATACAATATCAAACAGCTGAATGAATTTTCTTCTTAGTGCACTCATAACAAGGCGCTAATCATAGGATGGTATCATAGTATCATCGCCACGTAAAATAAATGCATTATTTTAAAAATTCCATCATTCACCGTCAAAGCGCAGCGTGCAGCCTCGAGTCAGGAACCATGGACTTGGACCATACTATTCCAGCTTAGTGTTTTTTCGATTCTCGTCCCTAGTACTCTACGATCGACACTATGAGGTGCTGACCACCGAGCCTCTCTGCGACCATCGTGTCGATGCCAGGTAAAATAAATGCATTATTTTAAATACGAGCGTTCACTTCACTGTCAGTGCTATAATCTAGGCGAGGATACCATGTGATGGTCTCCGTAATGAACGCACCCTTAGAGAGAGTGATAGCTCGTATGACTTAAATAAGAAAAATAATATGCCAAAATAATATTCTTTACAGCTCACCAAAAATGCAAAACTCAAAAAATTTGTAATTGTTTTATTGTGGATCCATGTTGATTCATGGATTGTACTATAAACATTTTTTAATTCTTTATTACCCGTTCTAGAAATTTATAATTTCTCATCAGTTTTACTAGAAGTTTCATCGATTTTACGGGACATTTCTCTTATTATTTTTATGAGTACTAGTCTGTTCGCTGACTGGAATTTGAATGCCTTTGGGTCACGGTAGTCTCTATTCTCAATTAGATCATTCTTGATCTAATTAAAACCACTAGAAACTTCATCACAGTCATCAAGCTGTTCGTGCAACTGCTTCACGATAAAATATTTTAGCAGCATTGTTGATCGGACAGTGTCAAATTTTAAAAATGTAATAAATAGTCTGTACCGAAAATATATTTTTTAAAAAAGCCAAAGTTTTTTACCTTGGCTAAAGTGCTAATCTCGCCCAAGAATCTTCCTTCTTTATCCAGGCTTAGGGCCGACAAAAAGAGCATTGAGGTATTAAACCTACTCAATGATCTGGTAGGCGGAGTTAAAAAACCTTGACTTAAAGAGATGTGAAACTACTAAGCTAAAATTAATATTTTCAACAAAAAATAAAATTATTACGTTTTCAGAACATTACCTGAAAAGTCAACAAAGTCTTTATCAACTAAAAAATACAAATATTACACTTCTTTACCAACAAGCAACATTATTAACATAAATAATGTTATACGACATAACACTAAGTGAAATTAAAGGCCTCTATAAAAAAACGAAGGACAAAAGTTTTGAAATTACGAACTCCCTGATAAATTAACTTCCATATATTAGATCTAACTTAACTATGCATTTAAAAAATAACGAATGACACCACAAAAGATATATCAAAGAGATAAGATAAAAGTAAAACTAAGAAATTACAAAAAAAAGAAATTCACGTACATAGAAGACTCTATAACTTTCTGAAATTGCTAAAATGTTTCGAATATTTTATTTTTCTCGAGAAATACGCTACACAAAGAGCCGAGATAACTGATATTCCAGAAGACACATTCAGTGCTATCTAGGTATACCACTCTTACTAAGAAATAAACTAAGAAATTACAAAAAAAAAAAGAAATCCACGTACCTACTTAGAAGACTCCATAACTTTCTGAAATTGCTAAAATGTTTAGAATATTTTATTTTTCTCGAGAAAGACACTACACAAGGAGCCGAGATAACTGATATTCCAGAAGAAAGACTCAGTGTCATTTACAATAGTCTTAGGTTTCTACCGAAAGATTTAGGCCTCGAATATCACTGAGGAACGAGCGCCAGCGACTGGGTTATCACTAAAGGTTTTTTCTAGGATAGCATTTACCAGCTGTTTGTGAGTATATATGAAAGCAAATTTTGAATTTGGTAAGGAAGACAATTTTAACCTTGTTTTATATTTTAATAGCATTGATGACGAAATTATAAGAAAATGGTGTCTAAGATAAGGAACTACAAAGGTCGAGATAACTGATATTCCAGAAGAAAGATTCAGTATTATCTATACCATTCTTACTAAGAAGAAAACTAATGAATTACAAAAAAAAAAAAAGAAATTCACGTACTTAGAAGAATACGAATACGAAACAATATTACGTAAATTGGTTGCATAGCCACGTCTAAATTTTAGTTGCAGAAGCAGCCGTTTCAAATTAGAAATTGAAATTACAAGAAATTGCATTACAAAATTACAATTTTATTTACAGATTACAAATTACAAACTGTAGCTCAATAATATTTTGATTGATCTATCATTACACATTTATAAATTTTAATTAAACTTTGAGGTTATGTTTATGTTTGATTTTATTTACCTCATGTGTTCCTTCTTAAATTAGAGTACTTTACTATGGCTCAACAGAAAGCAAAGAAAACTTCCCTGTGGATGCAATGTGATCAGTGTTCCATATTTTTAACAACTAAAGATACAGAACATCATATTAAAGACTGTCCACCAGATTTTAAAGGAGGAACATATAGTTTTATAAAAGAGGAAGTGTTGTATGGTAACATAAACCAGAAAGTCAATGAGGAAATAAAAAACATAACACCTAGAGAAAGAAGTAACTTAGTTTTCTTAAGCGAATCTGTGATTAGATTATGTTCTCTAGCTATTGGAGATTGGGCTTTAATACAAAGTTTAGATGGTAATAGTTCATCAGTTGCCAGGATTGTATGGCCTACAGTAGAAAAAGCTGTTACTTCAGTTTTATTTACAAAAAATGGTAAATATAATATAATTTTGAGTGTTTGTGCTAAAGACACTTTCCAATATTGCACCACACTACACTAAAATCTTTAGATATCATATCTGATTCTTTTTGTTTAATATTTACTTTGCCTTTTCATTTTTTGTAGGTATGTAAAATTTCAAATATTTCATTCCTATTTTTTGCATACTATTTATTTACCACATGAGACATAATGATTTAATAAAATAGTTTTTAGGTTTGGAATTGAGTAATTTTAAAGAAGAACAGAGAGTTTTGGTAAAAAAATTAATTCAACCTTTACCAGAAGCTACTTTTGTTACCCTTGTCATTACTAATGGACCAAAATCTTTAGAAATGTCCCCAGAACTCTATAATAGAATAAGCAAAACATATGAGGACAGAATTTTAACCAAGGGAAATATTATAAGTGTTATGTTTTATGGAAAAGAATTAAGATTTGAAGTAAGAAGCTTGGATTTTGGAGGAGAACCTGGTATAATAAATGATTTTAGTAAACTTTCTATAGGTAATCAGCAGCAGTTTGTGAAGATATCTTCCAAAACAAAATGGACATGTTATAAGTAAATATTTCTTTTACCTTTGAACTATACTGAGTTATGCTTGTCTTTTGGCTTTTAATATTGAAACCTTTATGACTTAGATTTCGATGGTTACCAGACTTACCCAATCACTGTTACATGCCTTTTTTGTATTACCTCACAATTTGACAAGCCAGTTCTCTAATTTGAGAATAATTGCAAGTTTCTTTTTGGCTAATTAAAATTTCATTTTTTCATTAATGTTTTTTTTTGGTTTGTAGAGATGAAAGCACTTACAAGAAGGAGTGTGAAAGCCAAATTTATGACAGACCAGCTGGAGTGGAGGAAGAAATAAATGAAATTCATGAATTGATAAATGCCTGTTTGCACACATCGTCCTATCAAACACAAACAAAGGCTGTACTTCTTTACGGAAACTCTGGGACAGGAAAAACAATGATTGCTAGGTATTTAGCTTCAAATTCAAAAGCAAGTGTAGTCTCTATTAATTCTACAGATGTTGGTAGCACTAATTCCAGCTCAGTAGAAAAATACATCAAGCAGTTATTCAATGACGCTGTGGAAAGTGCGCCCAGTATACTTCTACTAGATGAATTTGATATTCTTTGTCCTGCTAGAGGCACACGCCTAACTGAAACAGAAAAAAGAGTTGTATCTACATTTTTAAAACTGTTTGATGACCTCCATACTAAAAAGTCACTAAAAATATTCATTATAGCAACTTCCAGCAAACCTGATAGTATAGATGCAGCATTTAGAAGGTGTGGAAGGTTAGACAGAGAAATAGAGATACCAACACCTAATCCCAAGTGTAGAAAAGCGATATTACAAAAACTAACAAACCAAATGTTGATACAGTTGGATGAGAATAATCTTCAAGATGTTGCATTGAATACTCATGGGTTTGTAGGGTCTGATTTAGTAGCTTTGTGTTCTATGGCTGCCTTGAATGCCAATAGGAGAAGTCAAGGTGTTACTGTTGCTGATTTTGAATATGCTTTGAAGAGGGTTCGGCCCAGTGCAATGAGGGAAGTCCAGATAGAGGTAAAGTACCAGTATTTCCTTTATTGCACACATATTACATATACCCTTCCTTATATACCTCTCTTCCTTACCTACCCTATACTCCCTAGTTTAAGATACCAGCTGGATTTTTACCAAATTTTGTTTATAAATTGTTTTAAAATTTTCACTTGTAGGTTTCTAGTGTTAAATGGACAGATATTGGTGGTCAGGAAAATCTGAAAAATATATTAAAACAAGCTATTGAATGGCCTTTAAAGTATCCACAAAGTTTTATAAGATTAGGAGTTACGCCACCAAAAGGAGTATTGATGTTTGGGCCTCCTGGTTGTTCTAAAACATTGATTGCTAAAGCTCTGGCCTGTGAAAGTGGTCTAAACTTTTTATCTATTAAAGGTATGTATTTGAACTGTTGTTTTTTATTTGTTTTCAATGTACAAAGAGTTATGAACAGAGAAAGCAACAAAAGATGATTTTTTGCATTTTCAAGATTATGAATAAATATGATTTTTTGTTTATTTGTAAATTTGTTTATATTGCTTATGCAACCAATAATACACTGCACATTTTACTCACTGCTTCATTTTAACTTTTATAAATGATTTTGTATATAAAAATTCATTTTCTATATTATATATATCGCCATTTATGACAAATTTAAAATGTTTAAAGTGGAGAATGTTTACTAATTCTATTGGATTATTATTTGGCACAAAAGAACATTCTTGATTTTAAGGATAAAACGGTATGCTTTTAATAAATAAATGAATAAATTAATGAAAAGCTATGTCTGCTAAAGGAGTCTTCGCTAATTGTTGTGCATATTATGTATGATGTGAAGCACAATGCAATAAACTATATTATGAATTTAATTTCAGGTCCAGAATTGTTTAGTAAGTGGGTGGGTGAATCTGAACGTGCCGTCAGAGAGGTATTCCGAAAAGCCAGGCAGGTAGCTCCATCTATCATATTTTTTGACGAAATCGACGCGTTGGGTGGTGAACGAAGTGGTAATTCAGGTACGAACGTACAGGAACGAGTTTTGGCACAACTGCTGACTGAACTCGACGGTATAACACCTCTACAAGATGTGACCATTCTGGCAGCCACTAACCGACCTGATCGGATAGATAAAGCGTTGCTAAGGCCGGGAAGGTTGGATAGAATAGTTTATGTACCTCTGCCAGACGAACAAACGAGGCGAGATATCTTCAGAATCAAATTCGGCAAAATGCCTGTAAGTATTCATATTATTTTATCTCTTCCTTTTAACATTTATGTTATCTAATTATTTAATAATAATTTGTTATTTTCAGACTTCAGATGTAAATATAGATGATTTGGTTAAAAAGACAGAAACGTATTCCGGAGCAGAAGTGACAGCGGTGTGCCATGAGGCAGCCATGATGGCTTTGGAGGAAAGCTTGGAAGCTGAGTTCGTCCAAATGAAACATTTTGATAGAGCCCTTTCGTTAGTAACACCTAGGACGCCTCCTTATTTAATTAAACTATATGAAGATTATTTAGCAAATAAAAGTTGAGTTTCATATTTATTTTCTTACCTGGGTGTATAAAAAAATAATTAGCAAATAAATGCGCAACTTTTAAACTAACCTTGCAATACTCACGGCGCTAGTTTTTCAAGTTCTATTAACGATGGTGATTGTTAATTATGTTTGAACGGTGCTGTGTTTAATTACGAGATTCACGTCAGTTTCCCGGTGGAAAATCGTTCAAATAAATAGCTTCATCTAAAAATCGGCACAGAGGAAAGGTATTATTTTACGACTTTGGCGGTTTTGGTTTTTTGTTTTGCGTTAAAAAGTATGTAACAGAAAGTGAATTATTATAAATTTTGTATAATAGTGATTTTGATGAGTTGGATTTTGTTGGAGGGGAATCTAATCGTTGGAGTGATTACGAAGAAGTGAATGGATGTGATCACCGAGACAGTGAACGATTTATCTTCAGATACTGATGAAGAAATTACTGAAGGTGTTCCAATAGGTAGTGCCCACAATAAAAAGATTATTTTAGACTGGAAAGTAGACCCCACCGATATGAATAATTTACCTTTTCTTAAAAAAGCTCATTACTTCAAATGGCAACTCTCCTATTGACTGTTTTTGTCATATAATGCCTGATAATTTTCTTCAAGCAATTGTTGAGGAAACAAACGCAAATGTACTAGAATTTTTTTATCTTTACCACCCAAAAAAATCATGTATATGTGATTGGGAAAACCTTACGTTAGATGAGTTTTGGAGGTGTTCCTTCATAAGGGGAATGTCAAACTGAAACGTTTTCAAGACTACTGAAAAAAAGATCATCTTTTTCATGCAACTACAGATTATGTAAGTCTCAAACGTTTTTTTTTTTCATATTACGTTACATAAGGTTATATAAAATCAAACCTGTCATTAATTTTTTTAAAGAAAGATTGGCTGAAATTTATTATCCTTGCAAACAACTTTCTTTGGACGAGTCGATGGTGCTTTGGAAAGGACGTTTGTCATTTGGTCAGTATATAAAGAACAAAAAACATAAATATGGGATTAAACTTTAAATAATGATGACTCCAACAGGTCTCATACAAAAGATTGCTGTGTATACTGGCATGCTTGATGAAATAGAAAACCGAGGGCATGCTCAAAAACTTATCTTGCACTTGATTGAAAACAAATTAAATGTTGTACATCACCTCTATATGAACAACTATTATAATAGTTTTGACCAAGCAAAGATCCTCTTGAATTCAGGAACTCATTGTACAGGAACCTTACCATTGGATAGAAAATTTATCCATAGACGTCAAAAAGACAGTACAATTTCTAGATACGCAGAAGGAATAAGGCACGATAAAAGTATTGTGGATGTCGACGGAATTTGAAAATAGCAGTAAAATAGAAACAAGGAAAAAAGAAAAAACTAAATAAACTGCTTCTCATAGTTCAGTATAATAAGTATATGTCAGGAGTTAATCGACAGGATTAAATGCTATCCTACTACTCAGCAGAAAGGAAATCAAATCGTTGGCCGAAAAAGTTATTTATACATTTTATAGAAATGATGTTGCTAAATGCTCATCATTTATTTAATAAATATTCTGGATCAAAAATGGCGTTGTATGAATTCAGAGAACGGAGTTCAAATAAGGAGAACAAACTTTGATGCCCATGCACTCTTTAGAGCCACACAAGATCAAGAGGAGTATGTCAGAATTGTCGCCAACATCCCAGTGGCGAAGCTTAAGAAAAATTTTGGGTAGACAATTTTAAAGGAGTAATCCTTATTTCAGAAATGAGGAAAATAAAACAATATTTTTTAAATATTTTATTTTCATAAACAAGTAAACACAACAAAAACATGAAGACATTTTTTAAAACAAAAAATAAACTTAACTATAATGTTTATTCGCTAAACAATAAATATTAAATTTTGTTATATATTAAGTCAATTTTTCTATTTTTATTATTAGCAAAAGAGTCAATAATTTGTACTTTCATTTCTTGAGTAATTGAGTGCACCATATCCTTTTCAATGCTTAAAATGTATAATGAGGAAAGTCTTTCAGTAGTCATTGAATTCCGCAAATATGTTTTAATTCTTTTTAAAGTGCTCATAAATCTTTCAGATGAGGCCGTTGTTACAGGAATGGTCAAAAATAATTTTAGTAACTTATAGCATTCAGAAAATACTTCTGTTAACTCGTTGTAAAAAATATGTGAAAAAAGATGGTAACGTTCTAAATGTTTTTGTTCATCTGAATAAATTACAATCAACTCGTTTTCTAATTTTCTCATATCTAAAGTTTCAGATAACTAAGAGATTTTTTGGAAATTGTTTATTATAATTTCCGAAACTGTTTTTGTTTAGTAAGTTGACGAAAGAGAGTAAATGGGTGTCTTCGAATCTTTGTTGTAATTGCGTACAGATTAATTAATCCAGTATTTAATTGATTAATCCAGTATTTCAATACCTACTGTTTTAAAATTTTTTACTGTGTTAACATCAAGATTTGCTTGATTTGGTTGCTTGATATTGGTGCCTCATTTACGCACATTTCAATTGTATTGTCATTTCTCAGATTTTTAATATTTTGTGTCATTTTATGTATTTCTTCGACACATAAGCCTACATTGACAGAAATTTTTGACTGTAAAATCAAGGTGTAAAATCAAGGAGAAGTGCATCATATGTTTGGCATATTAGTTTATCATTTTTTATCTCGTGGAATGTAAAACGTGAATAATTTTTTCTGCAAGACTATTTGCTGTTTTATCACTAGACACGTCAAAAAATCCCATAACTTTTTCACATATGTTTTTTTTGTAGGTACACATACCTTATTACACTTAACTGGCATTTGCAGGATACATCAGTTGTTTCATCAGCCTGAATAGATATAAAGTCCGCTTCTTGCAAATCTTTAAAACTTTTCTGTCTGATAATACATTCCACCGATTCTATCAACTGATTTTGAATTTCGCTGGATGTACCTTTCAAAATGTTACTGACTTCTAAGTGATCACACATATTAGATTCTTCCAGAGCAAGTCGATCTAACAGTTCCAAATAATTTTCTACAAATATATCAAATATAGTTCATGAAAATTCTAGAGTTGAGAGTATTTTATAATAAAATATATTTTTGCAATAGTAATGTGATTAAAATTTAGTAACTTCTACTAACCTTTATTTCTTGATGTACCAGTTTCATCATGTCCTCGTAAAGCTAATTCTAGACAAGCCAAAAACGAACTACATCTATTAAACCACCGACAATTTTGCGATTTTCAGGTAAAAGAAATAATAAATAAGACTTACTCACAATCAATTTAATTTAACTATTCAGATGACCGGTTTCGCTTTCTACAATATGCAAAGCATCTTCAGGTCTCGATACAAAGTTAAATAAATGATGCCGGTACTTTATACTTTATTATTAGAGTACCGGCATCATTTATTTAACTTTGTATCGAGACCTGAAGATGCTTTGCATATTGTAGAAAGCGAAACCGGTCGTCTGGATAGTTAAATTAAATTGATTGTAAGTCTTATTTATTATTTCTTTTACCTATTTGTAATTAAAAGTATTGTACAATAAGTGTTGGACATTCAATATTTAATGAGAGATAAGTGGCCTTGCTGGATCCTTGCTGGTGGATTTCATCTTTCAAAATCAACGTTTGTAACGTTCTAAACGTTTGGCATTCCTTTCGTCAGGTAGCTGTTGCTTCCTTCGCGGGTGTGTTCGTTGTTTTTCTGGAAACCACAGGGTCTTCTAACATTATTGCCATAAATTGGTCGCCTTGCTCCTGTAGTGATCGTTTCCCAAGTTGACATTTTCCTATTCTAACTTGGTTACGTCGTACTGATGACGACCAAACAGTCAGAAATGCGTATTTATGGTTGCCTCCCATCTTATACGAGTATACATATTTTGTTGATAGATTGTTCCTATTATCACTCTAAATTGAAGTTGTTTGTGTATTTTTAAAAAAGTTATTAATCATTTTAAAAAAATATATTTTTAAAGGTATTTTTGCAACAATTAGGGAACAAATTAATGAATAGTACATTGTTTACCGGGTAGGAAAAGCTTAACATTCCTGGACGCCTGTGAAGAATGCTAAGTCGAGGCGCAAGCCGAGACTTAGCAACACAGAGTCCAGGAATGTGGCTTTTCCTACGAGGTGAACATACTATTTTTCCGCAAATCGTTTAAAATTCGACAGATATTGATTGATTTAAAAAAAAAAAACGCGATAATTTTATTCCCAAATAAATGGTGCTTTGAAATTCCTAATAAAATTACTTGGGTTACTATGGAAACGTATTGAGGTTGAATTGTCAAATTTATGTAGAACACTTAAGGATTCCCCACACCGACGCGAAACTTTTGCGACGCGAAACCGTTGCGGAACATTCGCAGGCGGAGGACTATTAAATTCATTATATATAATATATAATGAAAACTTACCATTTTCTCCTAGAAATGACCCTATATTATCCCAGACTTTATCCTTTTTTCTTATATTTTTATAATCTTCGTCACTTAAATCATAAATTATAGGATATTGTTTCACAATTTCAATTAGTTTTTCTGTAACAGCCATTTTAATAATTCACGGCGAAACTATAACTTGCTATAACTGCAGCGGAAAAAACCGTGCATGCAGCGTTTCATGAAACGTCAACGCTGTTCTGCCGCGACCGTTCCGGTTTCCGTCCGAACTTGTCTGAACACATGCATTAAGTCGCCGTGCCTTACGATTCGCCGCGATTCCGCTGCGAAAGTTTCGCGTCGGTTTGGGGAATCCTTTACGTACGGAAATATCATTTCCTTAGGAAATTCCTCCTAAGGAAATGACATTTCCTTACAGTAAGGAAGTCCTGACTTTTTCTTCAAGAAATTTTGACAGGAATGTCAAAATTTCCTGGCGATTTGCGGAAAAATAAATTTACAAACTCTCATTTTAATGTATTTTCTACGCTTTTTCGGTAAAATTGTCTCACTTTTCTATATAATTTACTGCTCTCCGGA